GAAAAAGATAATTGAAGAAAAATTTGTCAGTGGTCCAAGTAAACAAGTAATAAATCAATGAATATTGTGGAAAAATTTGTCAGCCACTACGCAGTACGCTCATCGTGGCCCACTAGGTGGTTGGATTTCCTTATCCCTCCATACGTCCCAATCGGTATTCAATCTTTAATAATAATAACAGGGTATTCACCTCCCCAGGTAATTTCAAAATTTATTCCCTTTACAGGGGGTTGGATTTCCTTTACAGCAAACATAAAACTAGAGAGAGAGAGAGAAAAAACCTAGACTCTTAAGTAGAAAACACCTAAACTTCGCATAACATTAAGAAACAAAAAATTAAAATTAAAATAACGAGGTGATAAGAAGCAAAACCCTTCAAAGAACGAACAATGGGGAAACAAAAAAAAATGCATACAATTGACAAAAAACAATTTGGTTGCTGTTGAGAATTAAAGTAGTGGAATATTAATTTGAGTATTGTGATCATCATTCATTTCGTCCATGCCATCATAATTAATTTGGTTTCGGTAATTGTTATTCCTGCATCTTACTTGTTAGCTCATGCATCATAATTAATTTGGTTTCTGTAAGTTATGACGGAACAATTAGAGTGTACTTAATTTAATTACCTCCATAATAAAGAGTTTCGAATCCAAAGTATTAGGAATTTTCTTTAGCAAGTGATTTGTATTCTTATTTGTAAGAACTTTTGAAAATCTAAACATAATCTTTTAAAAAAATCTCTGCAAAAAAATAAAAAATAAAATACCCTACCCACCCCCAATCCGCCCTATCCCATGTTTCTGACACACGCGTTGGAAGACAAATCACCATATTAAGTCTAAGACAATAGTTGCGTTGAAAGGCAAATCACCATATCGAGTCTAAGTCACAAGTCTTCGCGATCTCATCCATTAATTTCCCCAATATTCATTGATTTATTACTTGTTTACTTGGACCACTGACAAATTTTTCTTCAATTATCTTTTTCTACATAGTGATATGAATAAGAGTCAATTGTACGTTGTATAGTTTTTTTCTTCTTCTTTTTAGAAAATTTGGTATAGTCCACTTCTGAGGACATAAGTGAAATTGGACCTAAGAGCTTCTTTTTCCTTTTTGTAAATTATAGCTAGAGAGTTCTCCTCATTACAGGTTACAAGATGCCACCTTGGATTCTTATTTTTTGTTGGACCCACCCTCAACTCTTAAGTAAAAAAAACCTAAACTTAGTATAACATTAAGAAACAAAAAATTAAAATTAAAATAACGAGGTGATAAGAAGCAAAACCCTTCAAAGAACGAACAATGGGGAAACAAAAAAAAATGCATACAATTGACAAAAACCAATTTGGTTGCTGTTGAGAATTAAAGTAGTGGAATATTAATTTGAGTATTGTGATCATCATTCATTTCGTCCATGCCATCATAATTAATTTGGTTTCGGTAATTGTTATTCCTGCATCTTACTTGTTAGCTCATGCATCATAATTAATTTGGTTTCTGTAAGTTATGACGGAACAATTAGAGTGTACTTAATTTAATTACCTCCATAATAAAGAGTTTCGAATCCAAAGTATTAGGAATTTTCTTTAGCAAGTGATTTGTATTCTTATTTGTAAGAACTTTTGAAAATCTAAACATAATCTTTTAAAAAAATCTCTGCAAAAAAATTTAAAATAAAATACCCAGCCCACCCCCAATCCGCCCTATCCCATGTTTCTGACACACGCGTTGGAAGACAAATCACCATATTAAGTCTAAGACAATAGTTGCGTTGAAAGGCAAATCACCATATCAAGTCTAAGTCACAAGTCTTCGCGATCTCATCCATTAATTTCCCCAATATTCATTGATTTATTACTTGTTTACTTGGACCTTTGACAAATTTTTCTTCAATCATCTTTTTCCACGTAGTGACATGAATAAGAGTCAGTTGTACGTTGTACAATTTTTTTCTTCTTCTTTTTAGAAAATTTGGAATAGTCCAATTCTGATGACATAAGTGAAATTGAACCTATATCTAAGAGCTCCTTTCAAAGAAAAAAACATAAAAATGGTAAAATAAAGTAATTGAGCAATTAATAAAGCAAAAGGAAAAAAAAAGAAAAAGGAAATTACGTAGACTTAACAGTCTTTTTGTGGAACCAAAAAATTGAAAAGACTTAACAGTCTTTTTGTGTGACTCAGTCATCATGAGTTTCCATACGAAGATAGCTGTCCACACAGCAAGCTCCCAGCCCAACATTACAAATTACTAAGATGGATCAATGCTCAATAGGATTTAATTATGATAATTAGTTTATTTAAGGAATATCTCTTTTTCACATGTCATTTTTTTTATTACACCATCTTCAAACGTTTCCCTTAAACTTGTTTGCCACACTAATCACAAGGTATACTAATAAATGTTTCAAACCACCTAG